ACCGAGGAACATGCCCTTGACCGGGAATCGAACCCGGGACCTCAGTTTGCAGGCCGACGCTCTAACCACTGGGCAACCATCCAGGCGGTTTGGATTCTTTTGAAGGGAAGGGGCGTCTGACCCCTGCCCCCCCGTGACCCCGTCTCGGTCGGAAGCAGGCGCCCTTGTGCTGTTTCTCTGCCCGCCCCTCCCGCGTCCCCTCCGCCGGCTCCAATCCCCTGGCACGCGAGCCGAGCGCTCATCACGCTCACCTCCTCGCTCTTGTCCTGCGATCGATTCCGGGGATCATTTCTCCCGACTCGGCGACCACGCAGCTCTCCGCGGCCTCAGGATTCACTGCCGCGGCCGGGTTTCTCATCCCAAGGCCGTCTTTCCTGGTCTCGGGCGCGTCTCTCTTCGTTGATCGATGGCCTTCGCTCGTGCCTCTGAGATTGGCTGTTCCGCGACGGTCGACTTTCTCAGAACGTGTTTCCCGGAGTGTGTGTGTGTGTGTGTGTGGGGGGGGGGCGGCTCTGAGCCCCAGGCCTCTTCCTTTTTACGTAAACGGAGTCTCTGCACACGCTCACCCTCCCTTCCCTCACCTTTCCACCTTTTGTATGTATTCCTCGAGGCCCGGTGCACGAAATTCATGCGAGCGTAGGCCTTCCTTCCCCCGGCTGCCGGCAGCGGCTTCCCTCTGGCGCCTGGGACCTGGGCTTCCCTCACAGCCACGGCTTCGTCTGGAAGGTTGTCCGGAAGGACGTCCGGTCTAATTAGCATATTACGCTTTTGTTTTTGTAGAGTATTATTTTTGTTGTTGTTATTCCTCACCTGAGGATGTTTTCCCATTGATTCTTAGGGAGAGTGGAAGGGAGAGGGAGAGACAGAGAGAAACATCGATGTGAGCGAGACACCTCGAGGGGTTGCCTCCTGCACGCCCCCTACTGGGGATGTGCCTGCAACCAAGGTACATGCCCTTGACCGGAATCGAACCCGGGACCCTTCAGTCCGCAGGCCGACGCTCTATCCACTGAGCCACACCGGCCAGGGCTTCTTTTTTATATTTTTTAATTGATTTCAGAGAGGGAGGGAGAGGGAAAGAGAGAGAAAGAAACGTTAATGATGAGAGAGAAGCACGGATCGGCTGCCTCCTGCACGCCCCACACTGGGGATGGAGCCTGTCACCCGGGCATGTGCCCTAACGGGGAATCGAACCGAACCCGGGACCTCCTGGTTCATAGGTCGACGCTCAACCACGGAGCCACGCCGGCCGGGCTCCCTCAGTGTTCCCGATCTCTTCAAGCCCCTTCTATGGCTTTTCTGCATGGAGGCAGGTCATTCCTGCTGCTTTTCTATTTTGTGATCGTCTCGTTACCTGTTTGCAGGGGAGGCGAGGCCAGGCTCGGCCTCAGATTGCCTTCTTGAACCCCACGTCAGCCCGGCCCCCCTCCATGGGACGGGGGCGGAGGGGGAGGAAGACTCATCGGTTACCCCTCGGGGCCGCATTGCTGGCATTCCTGGCGCATGATCCCCGAAGAGGAATGTATCGCTTTCAATCACACTCCGGAGCATTCTAAACAGGACGGGGGATTTGTACTTGTGTCTGCAGATTAAATAGCAGGAGAGGTGCCGGCTGTGGGGGGACGAGGGGGTGACGACTTTTTAATGAACAGCAGAGCCGCGGCCGGGCACGGGGGGTGCTCGCATGACT